CCACTGTGGAACACCCCGTACACGCTTCGAGGCTCTTTAGTGCGCCCCCACCGAAGGCCAAAATGCCAGCGTTCGCACGCGGCCACCGCATCCATTTCGGCACACCCCCCACACGCTTCGTGGCCCCACAGGGAGCTCCACCGTAGGCCCAAATGCCAGCGCTCGCACGCGGCCTCCGCACCCATTTCGGCACATCCTTCACACGCTTCTTGCCCCACCGCGAGCCCCACCGAGGGTCCAAATGCCAGCGTTCGCATGCGGCCACCGAACCTATTTTACCACACCCCGCACACGCTTCGTGGCCCCATGGTGAGCCCCACCGAAGGCCAAAATACCAGCGTTCGCATGCGGCCGCCGCACCCATTGTGGAACACCCCTTACACGCTTCGTGGCCCCACAAGGAGCTCCACCGTAGGCCCAAATGCCAGCGCTCGCACGCGGCCACCGCACCCATTTCGGCACACCCTTCACACGTTTCTTGCCCCACAGCGAGCCCCACCGAAGGCCCAAATGCCAGCGTTCGCATGCGACCACCGCACCCACTGTGGCACACCCCTTACACGCCTCGCGGCCCCATAGGGGGGCTCCACCGACGGCCCCAATGACAAGGTTTGCATGGCGCCGCCACACCCCATGTTAGCACACCCCTCAAACGTTGCGTGGCCCCACAGGGAGCTCCACCGAAGTTCCCGTGGCAGGGTTCGCATGGCGCCACCGCATCCACGCACCCACTTCGACACACCCCTCATACGCTTCGTGGCCCTATAGAGGGGGCTCCACCGAAGGCCCCAGTGGCAAGGCTCGCATGGCGACACCGCACCAATTTCGGCACACCCCTCACACGTTTCGTGGCCCATAGAGGAGCTCCACCGAAGGCCTAAATACCAGCGTTCGCATGGCGCCACCGCACCCATTTCGGCACACCCCTCACCCCTTTCGCGGCCCCAGACGGAGCTCCACCGAAGGCCCCAGAGGCACGGTTCGCATGGCGACACAGCACCCATGTCGGCACATCCCCCACGCGTTTCGTGACCCCACAGGGAGCTCCACCAAAGGCGGGGCTCACCTCTGCGGTACACAATTGCACATGGCTGGGTCCTCCGCCAGGACAGTGCTGCTGTGGAAGTGCCTCCCTCCAGCGTCCAGCGCGAACCAAACCCAGAAGCCCTCCCAGGAGCTCCGTTCCCCAGAATGCCAAAATCCCACCCCGGATGTACGCGGCGCGAATTTGGACGCCCGAAATGGGTACGGAAAGACTGGGTACAATGCCCAACAACAAATGTTGTCCCGAACCAACAGCGGCCGCTGTTGGGCAGGCGGCCTCCTGTCTCGAATGGACACAGGCCGCGGCGGCGCGGACAGCGAGCCCTGTTCAAGATGAAGAGGAACCGCTGTTGGGCATTGTACCCATTATTTCCGTACCCATTTCGGGCGTCCAGACCCTCCTTCCCTATCCTGCCCGTTTGTCCAGCCCTGCATGAGAAAAGACGGGTGCAAGCATGCACTTCTCGTGGTGACGCGCGGGACATCCAGAGGCAACGCCTGGGAGATCCCTGTCAATTAGGCCGGATTGAGTCTGAGACCCATTTCTTTCTCTCCGTTCTCATTTCGGGCGTCCAAATCCTCCTCCTCCTCCTACTCCTCCTCCTCCTCCGTCCTCCTCCCCTCCCTCCTCCTCCTCCTTCCTCCTCCTCACTCCTCCACCCCCTCCTCCTCCTCTCCTCCTGCCCCTCCTCCTCCTCCTCCTCCCTCCTCCTCCTCCCTTCACCTCCTCCCCATTCACCTCCACCTCCCCACCTCCTCCGTCCTCCTCCTCCTCCTCCTCCTCCTCCTCCACCCTCCTCCTCCTCCTCTCCTCCTCCTCTCCTCCTCCTCCTCCTCCTCCTCCTCCTCCTCCTCCTCCTCCTCCTCCTCCTCCTCCTCCCTCCTCCTCCTCCCCCGCCCCCTCCCCCTCACCCCTGACCCCTCCCCCCTGCCCCCTACCCTCCCCCCTCCCCCTCCCCCATCCTCTTCTCCTCCTCCTCCTCCACCAACTCCTCCTCCACCGCCTCCTCCTCTCCGCCTCCTCCTCTCGCCTCCTCCTCCGCCTCCCTCCTCCGCTCCTCCGCCTCCTACCGCCTCCTACCGCCTCCTCCTCCTCCTCCTCCTCCCCGCCTCCTCCCCTCCCCGCCTCGCGCCTCCCCGCCACCGCCTCCGCCTCCGCCTTCCGCCATCCTCCTCCTCCTCCTCCTCCTCCTCCTCCTCCTCCCCTCCTCCTCCTCCTCCTCCTCTCCTCCTCCCCCTCCACCTCCTCCTCCTCCTCCTCCTCCTCCTCCTCCTTCTCCTCCTCCTCCTTCTCCTCCTCCTCCTCCGTGCCCATTTCGGGCGTCCAGAGCGAGAGCGAGAACCAGAGTCCGAAAAGGCACCGCCCCCGCTCCGTGCAGCTCCGAGGCGCCCCGCGCGCGGCCGCCCCGTGCGAAACAGCCCGCCCTCCGCCCGCGCAGCACGCCTGCAAAAAGGCGTTCGCAGCGCGCGAGCGCGTCCGCGGCGCGGCGGGGCGAGGGCCGCGCTCCGAAGACGGCCCTCCGCCCACCCGCGGCACTCCTCAAGGGGCTCCCAAAGCTCCGCGCTCCCGCGCTGCGCGCAGGGCGCGAGGTGCGCATATGGCTCCGCGCGCTCGCGCGCCGCCTCCCAAGGGAGCCGAACCGCGTAGCGCGAAGCGCGAAGCGCGAAGCGCGAAGGAGGAGGAGGAGGAGGAGGAGGAGGAGGAGGAGGAGGAAAAGGAAAAGGAGGAGGAGGAGGAAGGGGAGAAGGAAGACGAGGAGGAATCGGCGCAGAAGACGAGGAGGAATCGGCGCGAACAGCTTCGCGCCCTCGAGGGCGCCCCTTTGCTCCTGCAGAGTCCGCTGGCGCCGGTGGTGCGCGCGGCGCTCTGGCGAGGAGCCGCGCGGCGAGGACGAGGCCGCCCCCTCCGCCCGTGGAGCTCCCTGCAGGGCTCTGGCCACGAGCGCGCGCGCGGCGCAGCGGCGAGAGGCCGTCTGCTGAAAACGAGCCGCCCTCCCTCCTCCTCCTCCTCCTCCTCCTCCTCCTCCTACCTCCACTCTCTCTCCTCATCCTCCTCCTCCTCCCTCCACCTCCTCCCACCTCCACCTCCCTCCTCCTCCTCCTCCTCCTCCTACTTCCTCCTCCTCTCCTCCTCCTCCTCCTCCACCTGCCGCCTCCATCTCCTCCTCCTCCTCCTCCTGCCTCCCGCCTCCCGCCTCCTCCTCCTCCTCCTCCTCTTCGTCCTCCTCCTCCTCGTCCTCCTCCTCCTCCTCCTCCTCCTCCTCCTCCTCCTCCTCCTCCTCCTTCTCCTCCAACCCCGAATGTCGCATGTGCGCGGCGCGGCGGCGCGGCGCCATGGCGAGATGCCGCATGCTGGGACGGATCCGCCCTCCTGGCCGCGAAGCTCTTGCAAAAAGTCTAGGCTCCAGGATCGTAGATGGTGAGGGCATCTCGGGCGAAACGCCCGGCCCGCCCTTTCTACCGACCTCAGGGTGCGCAGGGAGGAATTATTGATAAGGAAGAAGGATGAAGTGGAAGGAGCAGGGGGAGGACGGCGCCGACGACGAGACGACGACGACGACGACGACGACGACGACGACGACGACGACGACAACAGATGCACGGGGGAGGAGGGGGAGAAAGGAGGAGGAGGAGGAAAAAAAGGAAAACAAGACAAGGAGGAAGAGGAGGCCCGAGCGGATGGACGAAAAAATTGAAGGGAGGCGCTGGAGACGCCGCCAGGGAGGGAGGTCCAGTGCCGATCCAGATCCTCGCAGACCTCCGAAAATGTGCGCTCATGATGCTGTTCATCCATCCTCCCTCCTCCCTCCTCCCACCCTGTCTCATCTCCCCTTGCCTCCCCCCCCTTTCCTCTCTCTCGCCTGTCCTCCGTGAGATTGTCCCGAAGAGCTTCGGAGCGGCCGCCCTGTACGGCCCCCAGAACGCCCCACGGATCCACGAAGACGAGAAGGAGGCGAAGCTGGGGGGAAAATCCGGAGGAGCAGTCCGAGCGAAGAGCAAAGGGGGATCAGGAGTCGGCGGCGCGCCCAGGTGGAGAGTGAGCGGAGGCAGGCCCTCTCAAAATGGCGGCGGGGCTGCTCAGAAGCCCTCGCGCCTTCTGAGAAGCCCTCTGCGGCTTCGGAGCTCCTCCTCCTCCTCCTCCCTCCTTCCTCCTCCTACTCCTCCTCCTCCTCCTCCTCCTCCTCCTCCTCCTCCTCCGCCTCCTCCTCCTCCTCCTCCTCCGCCTACCTCCGCCCCCCTCCCCCCTGCTCCTCCTCCCTCCTCCTCCACCTCCACCTCCTCCTCCTCCTCCTCCTCCTCCTCCTCCACCTCCTCCCGCCTCCTCCACTCCCCCCCCCCCCCTCCTCCTCCACCTCCTCCTCCTCCTCCTCCTCCCTCCTCCTCCTCCTCCTCCTCCTCCTCCTCCTCCTCCTCCTCCTCCTGGCCTCTCAAAAACGCGAGGGCTTCTCAGAGGCCCCGCCGCCTTCTGACAAGGCCTGCCCCCTCCCGCGCCCCCACTGGGCTCGCCGCCGGCGGAGGAGCGGGAAGGAGCGGGCGAGGAGCGGAGGGGCTGGGGGAACCAACACGGTACTGGTGCCGCTGCTCCCTGGACCTTCCCCCGAGTGCGGTCTGACCAGAATTTCGAGGCGAATCCGGCCGTGGCGACGCAAGCCTCCCAGGAAGCCCCCCAAGAAGAGAAAACGAGGCAGGGGTAGCGGTATCCGCAATTACCTCTTCTGAGGGGGAGCAGCAGGGGGGGGACCAGCTCAAGGGGGGAGACATCGAGCTGGAAGCGACGACACGACATGGCCGATAGACTGGCGAGAGGCCCCCGATAGCGAAACCGCACCTTCCTGAGCGGGGTGTGCAATCAGAAGCCCTCTCGGCGATCATCGGGGGTCGATGAATCCCCCCTGAGCCAATCCCCCCTAACGTTGCCCTTCAAAGGCAGGGTGCGCTCGCGCCCAGGCCCCGTCCTGCTCCCTTGGCGACATCCGCCGCGGCGGGGGCACCTTGAAGCCCTTGGGCGGCCGGCCAATGGGCGGCCGGTCCTGGGGGCGGGACCAGCGACCCTCCTCCTCGATCCTGCTCTCTCCTCTTTCTCCTCCTGGATCCTCGATCCCCAAAACTCGTCCC